ATCAACACTAGCATTTTAGATAGAAGTTGGGGAAACTGGTCAGTCTGGGAAAAGTGGGAGATACCTCCAGTATCTAGTGAGAGAAATGAAGAGATGTTGATGTAGTAATGTTTTCTTCTCTGGAGCTCACAAACTATTTTGTTCCTTCTGTAACTATATCTTGAAACTGATTTTTCAAAAAGAATGTAAATGGAGAAAGATTAATAACTTGAAGTGAATCATAAACTCTCTAGACCAGAGAAGAAAAATGCATTGGGGTAGAAGAGAGTCAGCCCATAATAAAGGAGTAAAAACAGTTGCTTTCTGTGGGAACTACATAAGTCTCATTTTACATTCCTTTGTTGGTGTAGATGTTGTCAATCCCATATACCTACTTCCCCATTCAGCAACTTGCTTATGAGTGAGGATATTTATAGAATGAGGGATTCTCCTCTCCTCCCTCACTCATCGCCATCCTTCCCATATCTATACTTATATTACTCACATACATCAGTGTATATTAAATGTAGAAATTACCTCCCATGGAGTTGTATTATTCTCATAAGAGAAGTATGTACTAGACTTACAGGTGGTTTTGTTTAATTATTTTTCTTTGTTACTAAGGAGGATTCATTCTGGGGTTAGGGTTTAGAAGGATGTGGTCTTTTTCTAGAAATGACTGTTGTAGAGATGAAGGCATCAACAAAAACATTTTAAAAAAACAAAGTAGCATGGGACAGGAGGGAAAGACTAAAAGAAAAAGAAGGAAAGAGAAAATAAATAGAAGACAAGAAAAAAGAAGTAAGGGACTAAAGGAGGGAGAGAAAAGGAGAAAGGGCAAGAGAAGAAAAGAGAGAGAAAGGGTGCAAAATAGAAAAAAAAGGGAAAAGAGAAATGGAGGGAGAGATGGAAGAGAAGTGAGAGAGAAAAAACAAGAGAGGAAAAGAGAAAATAAATGTAGAGGGGAGAAGAAAGAGGGAAAAGGAGAGACAAAATAAGAGAGAGAAGAGGGAGAAAGGGAGAAAAGGATGAGTATATCTTCCTCACTTCTGCTTCAAATTACATGACTATTTTATTATCCCCTAGTCCAGTACCCTGACTGTAAAACTTATAATCTAGGACTGCCCTGGTTTTTAATGAACTCTATGTGCATACCTAGACATGATGGTGCACAAGGCAGATAGGGCAGGAGAATTTGCAACTTTCATAGGCCATAGTCTTTCAGCTCATTGTACAAGAAGAAAGCTTTGTCATGTCAGGCTGTGATTCTGATTCCAGCAGGAAAAGAAAGAATAATCCATTCTATGGATGTTAGGAATCTTGACTGAAAAAATAAAAATTATCAAACTGTGTTTCGTGCTTTAGTTAAGAGGCCTGTAATAGTGGGAGCCAAAGCCGGAAGGCATAAAGAAAGAACTCTGTGCCCTTTAGATCCTCCTCTTGCCTGCTTCTATCCTTCCATGACATCTCTATTCTGCTTTCTCCCATTATTCTACTCCCTTACTCCTTAAAGTATTGTGTGCCTGACCCCCCAAAACTTATTCCTTTGTGTCTCCAACAGCCAAAGGAAGGAAGGAAAGAGAAAGTTCAAGCTGCTTGTTAATACAGATCAGGAGTTGATTAATCAGTTGGAAAAAGAGAAGAAGTCCTGTATCTTCCCCAGTCATGGGCTTCCCCAAGCTCCTGCCTATATAGCAGGTGGGGAAAACCTGGGGAAGGGGGGAGACAAGTTGTATTTTGAGCTCTGTTTCCCACACTCTCTCAGCTTCCTAACCAACATTCTCCTCCACGAAGGCCAATGGAACTGCAGCAGGGAAAAGAAGAAGACAGCAAGGATGACAGGAAGAAAAGAAAAATATGACCAAACTTGCCTCCACTTCCTTTCACCATTGCAGCAGCAGAAAGCTCCACAGGGAAGAACCTCAGAAAGATGGCACACACACACACACACACACACACACACACACACACACACACACAC